GTTCCGGCATGGCATTGCGGGTGTCTGAGCTGGTGAGACCCGCGATGAAAGGACTGAGATCATATTTTCAGCATTGACTCTTGACTACCAGCCTTGACCAAGCAGAGAAGCTTTCCTGTCTTTGGCAGCGATGAAGTCTGAAGAGTTTCATTGTCTCGTTTTGTCGTAGCTTGCATGCAGTTGGCAAACATTGCTTGTCAGAGCGGCTCAAGAGTGTAATGTTTCAGTATTTGTTTTGGGTGCTCCGTCTTCGAGCCTGTGTTAGTTTTTCCGCACAGGTCTCTCCAAAATGCACCGGAAAGAGTTGGTTCCGGCATGGCATTGCGGGTGTCTGAGCTGGTGAGACCCGCGATGAAAGGACTGAGATCATATTTTTCAGCACTGACTCTTGACTACCAGCCTTGACCAAGCAGAGAAGCTTGCCTGTCTTCGGCAGCGATGAAGTCTGAAGGGTTTCATTGTCTCGTCTTGTCGTAGCTTGCATGCAGTTGGCAAACATTGCTTGTCAGAGCGGCTCAAGAGTGTAAGGTTTCAGTATTTGTTTTGGGTGCTCCGTCTTCGAGCCTGTGTTAGTTTTTCCGCACAGGTCTCTCCAAAATGCACCGGAAACAGTTGTTTCCAGCATGGCATGGCGGGTGTCTGACCTGGTGAGACCCGCGATGAAAGGACTGAGATCATATTCGTCAGCACTGACTCTTGACTACCAGCCTTGACCAAGCAGAGAAGCTTTCCTGTCTTCGGCAGCGGTGGATTCTGAAGGGTTTCATTGTCTCGTTTTGTCGTAGCTTGCATGCAGTTGGCAAACATTGCTTGTCAGAGCGGCTCAAGAGTGTGAGGTTTCAGTATTTGTTTTGGGTGCTCTGTCTTCGAGCCTGTGTTAGTTTTTCCGCACAGGTCTCTCCAAAATGCACCGGAAACAGTTGGTTCCGGCATGGCATTGCGGGTGTCTGAGCTGGTGAGACCCGCGATGAAAGGACTGAGATCATATTTTTCAGCATTGACACTTGACTACCAGCCTTGACCAAGCAGAGAAGCTTTCCTGTCTTCGGCAGCGATGAAGTCTGAAGGGTTTCATTGTCTCGTCTTGTCGTAGCTTGCATGCAGTTGGCAAACATTGCTTGTCAGAGCGGCTCAAGAGTGTGAGGTTTCAGTATTTTTTTTGGGTGCTCCGTCTTCGAGCCTGTGTTAGTTTTTCCGCACAGGTCTCTCCAAAATGCACCGGAAACAGTTGGTTCCGGCATGGCATTGCGGGTGTCTGAGCTGGTGAGACCCGCGATGAAAGGACTGAGATCATATTTTTCAGCATTGACTCTTGACTACCAGCCTTGACCAAGCAGAGAAGCTTTCCTGTCTTGACGAAGAGCAAGACCAACAGACCCCTATTTTTTGGCTTTGAAGCGTGTACCGTTCAGTGCGACTTTGGTGTTTGGCGCTGATACCACCCTCTGGGGTATGCCCTCAACGGACCTCTAGATTTTCTCTTTGTGGCTACAGTGGATTGAATGGAGGGGTCCTTGATTTCCGAGTTGGGGTTGGGGAATTGGCAGTGCATGTTGTATTCCAGGGGACGCAAACTTCTGCAAGATCGGCATGGTTTGCAGCCCGCGGGCATGTCTTCACGCCTTGTTGCCGCTTGTTCAATGTGAAGCTCACAGGGTTTTGGAGGCCAATGTGGGGACGGCTGTGGCAGGGTTGCTTTGAAACACGCCCATAGAAAGGCAGTTTCGAGGGTTCTGAAGAATCAACCTAGCAGTTTCACCTGCGAAATCTTTGGGAGGCGGTGGGAGATATGTGCTGACGCGGGTCCAGCAGAGTTTCCATCTCCCCAGGTCCCCAGCAGTTAAGGCCTGAGTTGGGCAAAGGGGCCTTATTTTGGCCTTAAGCCTCCTGCTGAGGCTTACTAAAACCCCACACGCTTGGGGCGGGGGGGCGGGGGGTGGGCCTGATGGGGGGCCTCATTGTTGAAATCCCCGGCACTGTATCACAGAAGGCAGTCAAAAATATGTACCCAAAATAACCCTGCTGAAAGGAAACATGGACTAAAATCTGCGGTCCAATTCCTGGTGTCTTGATTTTGACTCATTTTTCATACCCATTACCCATACCCATTTTCATGTCAATTAGTAAGACAGGTCGCCAACATGTGTCATGGAAGCCCAGGCATCCGGATCCATAGGCCTCGACAAAGCCTCGAGTAGCCTCGGGCCTACGTGGGAGCTTGTTTGAAGGGTTCTCAAAAATGACTTTGGGATTCTCTTTAACCTGTTTTTTTGAGGGGTGATGTTGAGAAAGGGTGGTTTTGGGGGCGGTTTGCCTGAACACCACCATTGTCGAAGATATTTGTTTCTCGGTTTCGGACGCGATCCCCGGTTGGTGCTGGTCTGTTGACCAGGCGCTGGACAACATTCAGCATGCCCGAGAACTCCACTCCCAGGTGGAGGATTCAGCCCGAAGGCCTAGAGCCCTACCTGGCAATGCGCTTGAGGGTGCACCCTTTTTCGGGTGTGGTTTGAATGGAAATCAAATGGAACACCCCTCATTTTGGGGATTCCGCCACTAGACAAACCCATCTATATACATATACATATATATATATATAACGAAACCCTCTTTTGGGAAACCTCGAGCGTTTGCGCGTCCAAACTACAGAGGTCTGGTCATAAGGCTCCTTTTTTTTTTCTCCTGTCCCTTGCATTCTCTGTCTTGTAAAGCTTCGTATTTTCAGGCCCAACCAGAGCGATCCGGCCGCACTCGCCCCTGTACCTTCCCCGCCCCACCTGGGAGGAATTAGTGGAGAACCACAGGTTCGGTCGAAGGTTTGCTTTGACCAACTTGGACTTGAGGGGGCCCTCCCCAAATGCAAGGTCTCCAGTGGTGCCCTCTTTTGAAATTTCTTTTCGAGGGGGGGTCCATTTAAAAACCAACCCCACACAAAGCGTGCCAACTTTTTATCTTTTGGCCACTGAGGGTCTGAGAAATTTGTTCACCAACTATGGCGTGGTTCGGTCCAGGGGTGGCAGCTCTGCCCCAAGACCCATCAGGCACATCCACGGAGACCCGTTCTTTGTGGGGAGCATGTGTGAATTTGAGAAAAAAGGCGCCCGACAACCCATAGAAATACAAGCTCCCTCTCGAATTTGAGATAATCTAAGTTGCTGGGGGTATAGGCATCAGAACCACAGAGTGTGGGCTCTGAGCACTCCGCAATTTTCTGGCCTGAGGTCGCCAATGTGGGCATCGGCCTTCCTAGAGAAGAGCAGGAGGGTCGGAGAGACGAAGGGACCTGGGCAAAAACACCATCTCAAATGTTAAGCCAAACATGCCAACGAAGGTGTTGTTCTGGCTTCAGAGGTCAAATGTTCGCCCAGCGCAATGTCATTTCACCGAGTTTTTTTTTGTGTGAATCAACCGGCAGGGGAGGGGACAGCTGATGCTCGAAGGTGTTCGGGGCCGTAGCAGAAAATATTGCCAACCTCTTGAAGAGAAAACTTTGCTAAACAAGCCAGAAGCCTTCAGTCGGGTTCCTCAGGGTTGCTTCCACAAGGGTTACATGGCATTCTTGGCCCTTTGTCTTTGGCGGCAGCCGGCTTTTCCACAAAGCCTGCAAAACAAAAACCGCAACAACAACGATCTTTTGCTCAGCCAGGAGCAACCCAGAAGATAGGTTGTTATCCTCTGGTTTCCCGGCCTTCCCTGGTCGGCGCGGGTCCGTGGGCACTGTTCAAAACCCACAGCTCTTGCTGATCTTCGGCTTGATCTCTCACCTCATCTTCCTACCCTACCCGTTCCCAGCCATAGCCCGGAGACTTCTAGTTGTTTGGAATAGACGCTATTTATATAGGACACGTCCCACTGAAAGTGTTCAACTTGTTCGACAGATATCTGAGTTACACCTGACCTTGTGGAAGTGACACCAGGAGATCATGTTGAGGGGGTGGGGGAGGCGGGGGAGACCACTCAGGGAAGCCTGAAGGACAAAAAATATCTTGTTGTTTGAAGAAAACAAGACACACCGAAATAGCCAAACATTCACCAAAAGCCAGCTTGTTGGCTCATGTCCTGGAGATTTTGACCACCGGCTTTTTCACTCGGCCCAGCAAGGATCTGTGCCACTTGCTGCCGGCTCAAGCTTTCACTTACGCCAAAAGAGCACTGGGCGAGGTTAGAAGCAACATGTTTGCCCTGACGACGAGTTGCCTGAAATGGGAATGAGCTTCAAGCTCCGTCAAAAAGCACGTTTTACATTTATACCCTTTGTTTAGTGCTGGCTGGATCCAAACTGAAATGCAAAGTAGTAGGCTGAATGGAACAATCTCAATGTCACATGGCTGCTTTCAACTGTCAGCCCTGCACGTACCCCAGTAGTCCATAGGGGAAATGCCTTAAACACAACTTGTTGCCAAATATCACATCGCGAGTTTCCGCCAAAACAGAATGTGAAATTGCAGCATTCTTGAAGTGGCCGGACTTCTCGGGTGTGCACTTCTCTAAGGCCGCAATCAGGTGCCCTTGCAGTAGGTATTTTCAAAAAGTATCCCCCGACGTATCCCTACTTGAAAATGGGATTTGTTGGTTGGGGCACATTTTTGTTGGCCGTTTTTGCATGCAGGCGTGGCTCAAAAATTAAAAACTAGGGTTACGCATGTGTCAGTCTTTGTTTCCATTTACCAAGGTGCAATGTTGAGTACATGTCTTTGACCCACAGCTAGGTCCCCAGTAGTGCCCTTCTCTCCCCTGCTTTGGGGGAGGGTTCCCCTACTAAAATAGACTCCAGAAAAAAAATGGTCCCCTTATTCTAACCTCTCTACTGGAGAACCCAGACAGCCACGCCACGTTCGGAGCTTCATGCAGACGCGATGAGAACCCGTCATTCTAGGGGTTGATTCCCCATTCTTTTCAACCATTGTTTTTGTTTTTTGAAAAACCAGCTTTCCCTGGGTTTCCGGAGGTTTTCCCAGAAAGATCCGGATCCCTGGCATGGGGAAGTGTCCCCTAGAGTCATGGCCTTGGAGTTCTTGCTGGGCTCCTGGCACGACTCCCAGGGCAACTTGGTGGAGGCTGCCCGGGGGACCTCGAGCGAACGATGCGGTGACTTTTTTTCGGTGGGTAGGAGTGACAGCTGGTGCCTAAGCTAGCTAAACCACCACCCCAGAAGTGTGGGATGTGTTTTTTCAGGAAATGAAAATGGTTGTTATTTTGGAGGAAAGCTGAACATGGGGACTCAACCTCTAGCAGCGTGATTGATTCTCGCGGCTCAAGTCGAAGGGTCGCAGGATCCAGATGATGCCCCTGTATGCCATCTGGATTTTCCAGTTGAATGGGTTTGTCAGCCCGCCAACATGGTGCGGGTGTTTCCCTTTGGTGCCCACTCAAAAAACTCAGAAATAAGGCGGCCAGAAGGCCAGAAGGCGCAAGTCATAGGGGCTGTTGATCCCACCCTCGTCCCAGAAACTCATGGTCACAGCGGCGGAGCTGATTTTTTTCCCTCAGAACTTGACCACAGAGCCGTGACCTTGACACGTCTCGTCGCGGCGAGTCCCGGCGCTCGAAACCGAAGTCTCGCAGGTGACCCAGTCGGCGAGGGGCTGCCAAGTACTGCTGCTGCGGCCAGGCCCAAAAAAGGACTCGGACCCCACGTTTTGGTCGGCAATTACAAGGAAACCGAAAGGAAGCCCACCATTTTAGAGATCCCCTAAATTCAGACAGATACTCCTTTTTGTGTGGCGTGGTGGGGCCAAATCACAACTTTCAGCAACTAGGTTCGTCAAGAGGCCTCTGTAGATGAGTATTATCAATAGTAGCATCAATGTAATGGTTCTATAAGAAGTTCTCTTTTGCGGTTTAAGCATCATTTGAGCGACTTTGAACTGGATTATCCTTAATAAGCTTCGCTGCTGAAAAGGGACTTGCAAGTAACCCTGTTGAATCCGCGAGGTTTGTTGCTAGACGACCTCCTATTCATAGGAGTACAAAACATGATCAACACACTGTTCAGCAGAATACAAAAGGAAGTACTGTTGAGGCACACAGGTGACCTTAATGTGGGATCAACAATACATTTCCTTGGCAGGAATATCTCACATAAAGGCAGCCATATCGACTTCAGATTGAACAACAACTATGTCGACATCATCCTGGAGGAGTCAGGAATGACTACATACAACCCAGCAACATCACCAGGAGTGTTACTGAAGCACAAAATCCAAAAGCTTCAACAATTAGCAACCAAGGCCTCATGGGAACTTTGAATTGTTTTCCTAGAATTGCAATTACTGGAATCCCATTGGCAGACCGCCAACTAAATGGAACGTTGTCAAATTCCAAGGGGGAACTTTGTTTGTTTGCGGATTCCTTATTTGCGGTTTGTGAATCATGTAATGGGGTCAGCTATACAAAGAGTATTTCGGGTTCAGAAAACGGCCTTTAGTTGTTTGACTGTTCCAGAAGAAAGCTAAAATGAGATGCGTATTTCTTGTTTTGGGCTCCCCCTTGACATAAACGCGCTTTTCACAAGTATTCCCCAACTGCGTTTCGTGTGGCCTGCGTTTGACAGTTGTTTCCTTTGCAAGCCTTAGTTTCATATGGTATTTCGCATAATTATATGATGGTGCGGGGCTGGGGGAGATGGTGGTATTACTTTTGCATGTGTGGACCAGGCGTCAGATAATTTATTGCCAGTGGAGTTGTCAATGGCTCCAGGACTTTCTCATTGATTGTGAGTGTCATTGTCAATAGGTCAGCACTTTTTCATGTGTGGACAGGGTTGATTGTGAATGGTGCTGTCAATGGCTGCAGCACTTTTCCATCAATAATGAATGGAATCGTCAATGACTCTCAGCACTTTCTGCATGTCGGGGCGTCAGAGGAGATGCGAAAAAAGGATCGCCAAAAATCCTCAGGGACACCCCCGCCAAGTAAGTTTGAGCGTTCTTAGCCGCTGTAACAACTTCCTTTTCAGTCACTTTGCTTATCTTGACCGCAGCGATGGTTAAAAAACCTAGGCGCCAGAGTACACGCACCCTTTTTGTATGAACAACGGTCGGCCGCATCAACATGTGACCTGGAGACAAAGTCCATTTCGCATAACCAGCGTGAGAGATTTGACGCAGGTCATATTGCTCTGTCTTTAGCGCGCGCGGTCACGTCTTGGTGGAACGTTTGGTGCTTTGACACTAGGCCTGGCTGGTAGTCCTATGTTTGCGCAGGCCCCTTTTCTTGACACCCCAGACCCATAGCTTGATTCGGTTTTTTGTTTTTTGGAGGGGGGGGAGGGCGAGGTGCCGTTTTTATTTTTAACTAGCAATGGCTTTTATTTGGAATTGGCTTGGGAGGGCGGGTTTGGTCTTTTAGTTGGTTGGGTTGGCGGTTGGGTTGGCGGGTGGGTTGGCAGAGTGGCATGACAGCTCAGTCTCTTTCTTGATTTGTTGCCACCGCAAGACAGGCCTGAGCCCTGGCATTAGTTGTCGTGTCTGCCTCTCCCGTCCCAACCTCTCACCTGAGTATATCGATCAGCTGCTGGAGTTCAGCTGCCGCGTGTCCGCTGATGGCGTGTGTGATCCTCGTCGATGGCATCTGTCACTGGACCGGGACGCGGGGCTCCGGGACGCTCGGTCTTCTGCTTGGGCTGTAGCGGTCCTTATAAGGCGCCCGTTGTGGTTCACTTGCGTTTGTCTGCGATGTTTGTCTTGTCTAGGCGCTGGCTTGCTCGATCCACAGCTACTTGCTCGTTAGAATCCTCGCTGCCATCACCAAAACGCTATGTCCTGTCCGGCGTTCCCTGCTGCTGTGGCCCCGAAGATAACATGGCCGAAAGCCGCATAGCTCCAGGTGCGCAAGCAAAATCGCCCAGGACGTGGTGCGCCAAAGCATGCTCATGTAGATCAGTTAGCTGCCATGAGGCTCATGGAAAGCCCGGGCTTGCAAATTTTGCTGGGGGCGTGCGCATTTCTTCACGCAAACCTTGCGTGAAAAAGATTGGCTGTTCCCCGAATTCTTTCATGGACCTCGACCTAGATAGCTCTTGGCTGTACCAGTGTTTTGTGTGACAAGTGTGGGACAAGAGAGGATTGGAAGCAGCCTGTCTGTGGGAGCGTCTTGAGAGGCGCGCGTTTACGGCCAACCGGGCCGTTGTTATAACCTACTTACTTAGCTTGATTACCCTATACCCTTCTAAAAAGTTGGTCAAAAGGCCCGCTGAACATGGCGTGACCTGTCAAACCACCAAGCCCAATGATGACTTTCGCCACATAGGAAAAGCACTCATGGTCATTTGGGGACCAGACATGTTGATCAGCCCCCACATGTCCCCGACTCCACCGGCTTCAGGGCAGAAGCGCGGCCGCCGCTTCGCCGCCTACGAGGAAGATGGCGCGGCCCGGCGTCGGAGCTGAAGGGGCAATGGTCGGGGTCGCAGAAGAGATGTTAGATTCCAGGGTAGAAGTGTGAATCCGGATATGATATATGATCATGTATTTAGGTGCTGTGTACTACCTCAGATGTGTCCAAGCAAGTAGCGTAATTTTGTGGCAGATCATGGTGGGTCGGCCTTGAAGAGAGATTCAGAAACATATGTTTTAGGCGAGCTGCCCTTTTCCAGCGTCCCTTTCAAGCCTTTTACCGTTCTTGGGCGTTTCTTTTTGGCTCATTCAGCCTCAAAGGGAACTCAAAATAAGCAACCCTTTAGGGGTGAACCAGTATTCAGCCAATCCCATCTACCACATGTGTTTGTCCATGGTGTAGTTGGGCCTACTTCAGCCGTTTTGCGCAGGGGTACGCGGGGGCCCCACTTTGAGACAAACACAATTGTTCGGGCCACCCAAAGGCGTAGTGAGCCCATGTCTCCGTCCAGATGTTGGGCGGGGGGGAGGGTCTGAAGTATGCCGCCCCTTTTTTCTGCTCCAAAGAACGAGCTACTCCACGCCAGCCGTTGCCAGGAGTTCCATGAGTGTCCGGTGCTGGGTATTTTTTTGGCAAAAATAAGAGACTGGAGGGCAGGACTACGCTTCATTTCCGATGGCAGCCTTCTGGGGGCGTTTGTTGAGGGTACAGTTTTTAGGAAAGCGTATGAGCATGTGGGAACGAACCCATTTGGGGTGGCTTGCCCATTGAGTTTTGACGCATACCCGGATCTAGGCCGTCTTTCTCGACTAAAGAAGTCCTCTGCCCATTTGGGGCGGAACCCTGGCTTTGGAGCTTAAGAACACTCAAGTAATGTTGACCCCAAATTAATAAACTCGTCCTATTTATTGGGTTGCTTAATCTGGGGTCCATGCAGCAACCATTTCGAGCTTTCCCATGGTTTTGTTGAAGCCGTTTTGGTGCAGAATGCATCATGTGTGAGAGACCAAGAACCAGATCGGGCGGGGGGAACCCCTTTCGTTTCCCTTGATGCGAAAAGCATAAATTCAGAAAGTCCTGAGCAAAGATATCCATAAAGTAGGGAGTCCGCTCTCACTTTCCTTTCCTTTCCTAGGTCCCCCAGTAATGCCCTTTTACCCTTTTTTTGGGGGAGGGTTCCCCTACTAGAATAGACTACAGAAAAAGGGTACCCTTATTCTAACCTCTCTACTTCTACTGGAGGACCTAGTTTCATTCCTGTGCTCATTCCTGGCGTTGGGTTTTCCCCGTGGTCCTCTTTTGAGAAAACCCCGCGGCTGCCAGGCGCCATTCTCTGCGGGCGCTACCTACTGGACCTCCGCGAGGCTGATCGGCTCCAGTGGTGCCAGCGCAGCGATGCGCAAAAGGCGCGGCGTCCCTGGGACGCTCTCCTCCTGGTGATTTCGCCGGTTTAGGGTAGCCCCCCCAATAAATCAGCTGCGCCCACAGAGGCCCCGTGCGAAATTGAGTGAGTGAGTGGTTTAGCGAGTTGTGTCATAAGAAATGCCTTTCCACTGTCGAGAGTCTCGCGAAATTCTACATCCTATAGTGGAGTTAAGAAATCTTGTTTAATAAGACCGTAGACTCCTACAAATTCTCGTGGAACCCCAACAACTGGCCTTTAAAGAACTTTTCAGAGGGGACCTCCGTTTCGGAGACTATGTTAAGCTGCAGAGTGTGAAACTGAATCAGACAAGCTTGTTTTCTGTGTACCTAAGTGGGCCTCGCTTGATGAGCAAGAGGGTTGGGCAAAGTTTTGGGACCCCTAGGGATGGAAGCAAGACGCCCTATGGTTTTATTCCCTGGCGCCTGTGTATCGAAGGGGGGGCGGGGCCCCCAATAGAGGGAGCCCTTCATAGAGGGCAAGTGTTGCGTTTTGTTTGGTTCTGCAGGGGGCCCGCAAGAAAACGGCAAGTTGTTGCTACCATACCAAATTCAAGTATGTTCAATCCACGTGTTCAGGGCGGTTTTTTGAAAGGAAATCGTGGCTGGGATGCCAGAGCAGAGTTAATCCAATGCTATGTAAACTCGGTTGTTGAGACATGTTTGAATCAGTGTTGTAAAAGTCCTAGCCTTGCTGGCGGGAACTATGGGGGCTGGGAGGGGGAGGCTAGACACATCATCTGACCGAAACAGTTAACCCCCAATGGCCTAAACGGAAGGATGTGTTCCTTGCAACAATGATCTTTGCAATTTGGTACAGGTACCATGTTAAAGTTCACGGAGTATGGGCTAGATGCACTGAGAATAGGCTAGATGCTCTTCTGGGCCGAGCAAACACTGATAATTTATCAACTTGAAGTTGAAGGCAAGCCAAGCCTCGGGTGGTAGGTATTCCATGAGCGCCCCAGGCTGAATGAATGAATTAATGAATGAATGAATGAATAAATGACTGAATGAACCCTCCAAAGAACCCGCAAAACAGAACCGCTTGTTTGACGCCCTGCTTGGTTGGTTTATTGGTTACGAAAGGCTGTGGGCCCCCTCGGCCTGCCATAGAAGAGCTCTGAGCAGGCCACTCCCAGATGTGGCCCTGAGAGCTTTTTGAGAGCCTGCGGAAGATAAATAGTTCTTTGGTGCATTTTGCCAAGGGATGCTAGGACTTTAACTTCTTGCCAACTCATGGGTTTTCCGTATTAAACCACTGACAGATAAAAACTTTTAGCAGGGGAGCAGAAAGCAACCGAGAATTGGTTTCAACCCCTGCATTTTTGATTCAAAAACCGCGACCGGTTTGCCCACTTGCAGGCTTGCAACAAAATCATTGCAGGCTTGCTACCTAATTTTAGGGAAAGGACGCTCTTCTTTGGTCTTTACGCTTGGTCACGTGTTTGTGGCAAACAACAAGTTCAGGGACTTTCTTTGGCCAATCCACTCAGGAAGCAAGCTCATGTCATAGAACACATGATCTAAGTGGTTCATCAAAACACTTGTGGGGCGGGGCATTGTTTTTGTTTTGAATCCACCGCTTCCCCTGTAAAAGCAAAAAACATAATCCACACGTATCCCTGTCAAACACCACCATAATCCACCCTTTTCCCTTGTAAAACCACCCTGTAGGGGGCACCATGTTGACGGGTCACGTTTCTGGAAATATTCCATCGCCAGACCTCAACCTGGTGGCCTGGACCGCCAGAGGCTTGCAGTCCATGGCGCGGGGATGTTTGGTGGTAGGTGTTGGGTGGGACGGGTGGCGTATGGGACAACTGTTGAGGCCTTCCCCCAAACCTTGGCGAGGGCGTTTCTTGGGTTTGGAGGGTCCCTGGTGCCAGATCCAAACATATGGGCCCTGGAGTGTCCTTGTTTCAAGACTGCTATTGGGTTGGATCTTTAGATTTTAACTGTTTGGTTGAAATCAAATGGTTTTCCACAACCCACAGAAAGCAAACACTTTTTGCAGAGGGCTCAACAGCAACCAAGATTGGACAACCATGTTTTGGGGACGTGGCCTGAAGGGGTTGTCCCTAATTCCAGGGGGCCTAATTCTAGGGGGGGTAGTCAGCTAGGGGGTAGTTAGACATACCAGGAATATTTGGGTTGAGCTGGTTTTTTGAGGGTTCCAAGATCCGCCCATTTTAAGACTCGCCCATTTGCTTAAGATATCATATATTGCCTATTTGATAGCGAGCTCACTCATTCGCGGGTATATCGAGCTCACCATGGCAAGGGTCCTTTACTTGGGGGTCCTTAATTCAGCTTTTGGAGTTATAGTATATTAAACAAATATATGCATACTATATAATTATACATATATATATGTATATATGTGCCCCTGCTGGTTTTAAAGCCAATCTATCTCTAAAGGAAACATGCAAAGCTTTGCAGGGAACTCAAGGCGAATTGAGGCTCGCCTTGTTGAGAACCCCCCCCCCAAACAAGAAAGAAAGCAACAGCAAACCTGCATAGCCCACTAGGTTCAATTGAATGGGAAGCTGGATAAATGAACCCATCCTACCAATAGGGGGGTGTCAGCCACAAACGGGAAGGATTCCCGGCGCCCAGAATGGACAACCAGTATCAATCCGAGGTCAACTAGGGAAACCAAAGGGTATGATAAATTGCTTTTTTTCCCCACACAATCATGGTTGGATGGTCAGAGAGTCAGAGGAATCCCAGTGTGAGGAGGAACGTAAGGGATGGGCGTTGGCTACTTGACCTGGTGCCCAGTTGTTCCTTTGCTCACTTCCTGAAAGCACTTTGTGCTTTTTTGGGAAGACCATCTTGGTGATAAACAAAGAGAGTCTGGCCTTCTCCTGGCCAATCCACTCGGGAAGTGAGTCTTGTTTCCCTTTGCGATCCACTTTTTTCACGCCAGGGCTGGAGGTTTGGGACAGATTGGGCGGTGGAGGTCCTTTTCAGGCAGTTCCCACGATTGGCAACCCCCCGTGAAAGGTTTCCCATTTTCCCTCCCAGATCTCCAATACTAAAGTAAAGGTCCGAGGCTTGCCCAAGAAACCCTACCCAAGCATTTTTGCGGGACTCCCAAAACCCCCCCCTCCCCGCGATGAAAGGTACCCTCCCCCCATTCAAGCCCCCCAGCAAAAACCTGCCAGAAAAGGCGCTTTCCTTTTTGCTTAGTATTCGTTCAGTCTGTGCTTAAACCAACAATACTAAGCCACGAGCAAACCCCTCAAGTTTTCCCAAAAAGTGTGCTTCCCGCACAAATGCATTTTTCTTGCTAAACCCCTTCATCAACGGAATCCCGCCCCCCGGCGGCCCTTTGGGCTCAAAACAACAACTGGTATGCTGCATTTTGGATCGACATGTTGGGCGTCATGGTGGCTTGCCCGGAAATACAAGTGCCTAGTGAAGAAAAGGTCACCTAGGGAAGGCCATCTTGGCGCTCCGCTGCGCTTTTGCTTCACGCGCCAGGCTCCCCTGGATACACCAATAGCGCCGCAGAGCGAAAGCAAGTTGAAGCCCCCCGAAGTCGTGAAAGCACGTGGCAGGCTGGGTTTTTCTTTGAACGGGTGGTGGTTTCCCAACTCATCACAGGGCACCAAACCACTCTTCGGGATTGTTCTTGTGAAGCCTGCCGAATGGCACCATTGCGGACGTCAAAGTCAGCACGACCAAATCGTGCTTGTTGCTCTTTGTGCCTTTTGGGTGTTCCTTCTTGGTGCCCGAAAGTGATCAATTCAATGAGCAAGAATCCGTGGCATGGAACATCTGACTGGAAGCCGCTAGTTTGGACCATGCTTCAGGCCTTCCAAGTCAGTTGGGGACCACAGTGAGCCCTTTAGGCAACAGGCAGGGGGCTGTGAGCTTTTTATTGTGGGAAAGCCAAGTGTGCAGCCACGAAGAATGTGATACCAAGGGATTTCGATTGAACACAGTCAGGCGGATGGCCCGCTTTTGATTTGTCACAAGTGATCCCTTTGGCAAGGCTCGCTGCAGACCTTACTGAGTGTTCAAAAAATATGCTCAGGTGATATCCCCAACAGCATGTGCTCTTTTTAGTGCTCGCACCACCCCCGCAGCACTCGTGGAACCCTCGTGCAACCTTTCCTCAGGCGCCCCCGGACCACCCCCGCAGCCTATCTGGGCTGAAGCCCCAAAGCTTTCAGCTGTTGGGGGAGAACAAAAAATCATGACACATTCCCCCAAACAAGCCCCCGAGTCAGGGCTCACGCAAGATTTCTTTAGGGTGGAGTTGATAGGCCAGCCAAAAGTTTAGGAGCTTTTTCTTACTGGTGCTCAGCAGGGAATGAGGGATTCTATATATATATATATTAAAAACAACGGGGAAAAAACAACCTCCAACTGGTGGTTTTCTTTAAAGGGTACCAAAGCCTGGGTTCATTCCGTTCCCTACCCATCGCGCCCGCCAGAAAAGTTTGGAAACTTTCGCCAGATCGGAGCTGCTCTGCCCGCGCTGTGGTGAGAGCCTGCACCAGGAGCCTTGCGACGAAGCCGAAGAGATGTTTTTTTCTCGGTCGCTCTTCTTTCTTGCATTTGTGTTTCATGAAAATATTTGTATATATGTATTATTCTACAATATGTTTCCTTGGTTTTAAATGGAATCTAAAACAAATATGCTCAAGTGATATCCCCAACAGCATGCGGTGCTCTTTTTAGTGCTGGCACCGCCCCGCAGCCCTAGCAAAACCTCGTGGAACCCTCGTGGAACCCTGGTGGAACCCTCGTGGAACCCTCGTGGAACCTTACCTCAGGGCTGCCCCGGACCACCCCAGAGCCTATCTGGGCTGAGACCCCAAAGCTTTCAGCTGTTGGGGAAAAACATACAGGGGGCTGAAGCAAATGGAAGTCCTTTTCTTGACTTTCAAGGACTTACAAAAGTCAGCGAATCGACCGGATCTGAGCTTTTGTTGTTGACAGGGGTGTCCACTCGTATATAGGCCCAAAGAGGTCTGACTAGCAATCAACTCATCTGGCCATTTCGCTACACGGGCACACTTAGACTTGAGAAGTAAACGACCCTGTTTGAGAGGGAAACTGGCACAAGTTTACTTGACTGCTCCTTGACTGCAATAACCTGTTGTAACCTGCAACAAATTGATTCACCTTTTTCAAGGGTCCGTTTGAGCAGCTCTGAAACTAGTCGCCAAAATTACTCCTGATACAAGCAGCGGACAGCGGTATCAGGGCATAGGTTTTGGGTGGTCCAGTTCCTGTTGGTTTTGCAGGTTGATCGGTTTATGCAGGTGTTGTCGGTTTATTGTCGCATCTGACATGGACCTTTTGTTGGAAGGAGCACCTGATTCTATGCTTCCAGAACCTTCCGGCGGATGTCCTGTGCAAGGCACGGCATGTTTACTTTGGTATGCTGAATCGACAATGATGTGTGAAGTATCCCTTGTCTTTGATTTGCGTTTTTGTTGTTGTTCACAGTTGGACTGTTGCCATCGTTAGTCCTCGTCTTCGCTGGAGCCAGGGCTCATTTCGCCTTGGTTTTGGGCGGCCCGGGTGGGGCAAGGGTTCCCGAGAGGCTCCGAAGGTTGTTTGCGCCGCTGAGGAAAAAAGCTGTGTGACGTGATTGTCCTCGTGGGGCGTGGCGAACCTTCAAAGTATCTCCTTTCAAAGGGCGGCGGATCCGGGTCCAAGGCGCAAATTGATGGACAGTGGACAACTTGTCTGGTGCGAAATCAGAGACAAGAAGAAAGAAGCAGTGAGTGTGGGAGGCTTGCTGTTGCCGGGTTGGCCTTCCTTCCACTTGCCTACATGTTTGTAGTTTGCCCACTTGGTTGACTCGAGTTCCTGGACTCCAGTTGGTGGCCAACGGCAACTTTTTCTGCATTTTTGGTCAATACACAGGAAATGAGTTTGTGTAAATGGTTTTGACTGGGAAAACTCACTTCGGATTTCCCAACCCTAGAATGCATTTGATGCCACGGTCCTCCCCCGAAGAACGCAAACTTGACATTTGATGTTTGTCCATAGGCGGTCTTCAGTTGTTGTCTTTAGGAAGTGCCCACATTCCTTCTTGTGACACGATTCTCTGTTCTATTTGTGCAGATCTTGTTTCAAGGGGAACATAGGGAACCCTCTCCCACAGAGCAACGCACTAATCAAAGAGCAAAGTCACATCTTCTTGCCCAACAAATCACGACTTTGAGAGGGCACCCCTTTTGGGGAAACCCCTATTGGGTTCCTTCCGTCAATTTGTAGGGGTGTACAAAGGTGGTGGTTGTGCTTGTCAGTTTTTAACCTGAGGTGCTGTATTGCGTTTGGCTTATCCTTGGCTTATCTTGGGCCAGGGACACTCGGATAGCCCAATTGAAAGTCGTAAATTGGGATAATCGGATATCCTTGACCTGATGCTTGGGATAATCGGATATCTTGGGCCTTGAAAGTCGTTTTGAGGATTCCCCAATTTGTTGAAACCCACGGCCGAGTTCCGTCGAAGCGAAGCGAGCCAGATCCGCTTCACTGAGAAGCTGCTGCGACGCATGCAGCGTGCCTGGGTTGAAGTCTTCCTCCTTCCTCTGCCCAAAGCCTATGTTTTAACCTATGTTTTCCTTTGAAGAGGTTCCTTGAAGGATACATCCAACAACCACCCTTTTTCTTTGCAGGATAATTATGCATGATAAATTGCAACCATGCTTCGTTCACCCCAGGGGAAGCAAAAGGGGATGGCTCAGGTATTTTTTACCCGACACCCGATTTAGCACCCATCATGTCAGAACCTGGGGGTTATGTGAAAACCACAGTCCACGGGGCACCGGATCCTCTGAATCGGCCCCATTTTGGCAACCATTTTTTAATCAAGATCTTGCTTTTTGTCCTTGGGTGTTTGGTTGTGGTGTCTCTGGGTAGATGCTTGGCTGTCTTGAGAGTTCTGTTCTTTTTGCTTGTTGGGGTGGGCGTTGTTTTCACGCTTCACCTGTTCCTTTTTCCTCTGGCCCTGGAACAGGAGGTTTGTGTGTGTGTGTGTGTGTGCGCTTAAGGGACACCAAAGGTTGAACCACACCATGCGGGTTCGACCCTCCCGCCGTTTGAGGAAAACCATAGGGACAGTTGGATGCCAAGAAATGTTGGATGGGGCTGCGATTTAACTCAAAGGACAAGGCTTGGAAATCAGCTACAACCCCCACCGAAAAGGCAAGGGCTTAAGCCTTAGAGCCTTGTGGGCTCTTCCAAAGTGTTAAAGGGGAGCTAAAAAGGACCCTGCAGCAATATTCTTAGAGCCCTAAGAACTCTAAGTTTCTAAGACCTTCTTTGGGCGGGAATTCATTTTTTTGGGCGGGGGGCTTCAGGTTTCCTCAAGTGTCCTTTTGGTGTAGATCTTATGGCCTCATGTTTGTTTTTTTGTTGCGTTTTCGCTCAGGGCCGCAGGTGCTGGATATTCTGCTGGACAACTTCGGTGAGGAGCCTTGGCAGTTTGACTGCATCCGAGGTCTGGCAAAAAAACTCGCCTGTCACGGGGGGGCACTTCAAATTGGTTTAATTTTGAGGTGCTTCCTTTGAAATGCCACTTTGACGGATCCAGATCGGAGACCCCCCCAGACTTTTGCCCAATCAGTTTGCCATTCTGCCCCTTTGGGCCCCTTTTGAACCAGCAGCAACACCTTAACTGACAGCTTTTCGCGGGGGTCTCGGCCAACAACCTTGAACAGATCTGCGTTTGATTGCCACAAGGTAGCCCAACGGGGGAGGCCCTGGGCAACAAAGCCTGCGTATGGGTCATCAAAAAGAAGGACAAGTTACTTGGCCATATTTGACCTTTGGAGGCCTTTGTGGAGGGCGATTCATCGATTCTAATTGCAATGACCCTGGCGCCGATTCTGGGCGACCTTGAGAACCCGGGTGGGAATGAGAAGTGTTGCTTCCCCTTGAGTGAAGAGAGTCATTCGGAACGCCTTTCAGGCATACCTTTAGGTTCCACCTAGAAGCAGTTTAAAGATTTGTGACACATGAACAAAGAGTTTGACGTTTCCAGAAGTTCAAGTGAAGTCTCCATTGTCCTCCCTTTGGCTTCAAGATCTCTTTGGGCAAATCTGATGCAAATTTGAAGTGTCGACCCGCACCGAGGCATTTGGTTTGCGACTTCGCCCTTAATCAAGGTTACGTTTGTTGAATAGGTCAGGGGCAAGCTGTCTTTTGGGGGGTTGGTGACGAATCACGACTCGACCAGGTCCATCTATCAGCTTGTTTTCCTTTGAGACTGGTCACTGAAACACTCGCTTCTTTGGCTAAAGTGGTTTGCACAATCAGACCCTGGCTCCAGATGGATGTGCAATGCAACTTTTGGAGATTCGTATCCCGAGATGGAGGCACCACAAAGACACCCACAGCACCCAAGGGTTCCTTCAGTACCCTCAAAACCACGAGCCAAAACTTGTGGCTCCCTTATAAAGGGACGTTTTGCCCCGGATCTTTCTGTGGGTTCCATTGGGAAGCCTTTGCGCGGCCAGGCATTGGCCAGGAGTCTCGTGGGTATGTCTCACCGGTGTTCTTGCTGGATCTCAGGAGTTTTTTCACCAAGGGGCAGATACAGTTGATTCCCTACAAGTGCAACAACCACAATTCCTGTACAAGACCGGGATTTACAGCTCTCACTTGGCGATGGAGTAATTAATGTATCATATTTGATTATTTGGGGTGCCCCCCCCCCCAGAGGTGTTCCCCCCCCTTGTGTTTCCCAGGCACTCCAACAAGCTTCTCCCATACATTGTATGTTTCTTGGTTTGATTTTTTTCCAGCCGAAACCACAGAGTATGACGGTCGCCGATTTCGGGCCTGGCGACCTCGATCCCCTCCTTCCACCAAAGGCGTTTGGAGGAAAGGGGGAGGAGCTTTGGTTGCTAGGGGCCTAGGGGAAGTGAACTCCCGTGATTTTTGCATGGTATTTCAAGGGAAGCTACTGTATAGCCACCATGTATTCATTATATATATATATTATACATACACATATATATAGATTGAAGTTTAGAAGCCTGGTTTCCCTTAAGTAATGGTTTGGGCCCTTTCTTGGGGGCAACCAAGGCCCTTGCTTTTCGCGTGCTGCTGGCTGCTGATCTCCGAACCTGCCTGGGCCATTTGCCTGTTCCACGCACGGAGAGAGATGCTGCGCCTTGGCGGCTGTTCCGCCTCGAAAGGCGGGGGCACCGCATCTCATGGACGTTTAAGGGGGGCTATGGGGAGGGGGGCTATCCGTTATTGTCCCCATTAAGGGCTTTTGCTTGACTTATCCTAGGCTTATCCAGGTATAGGCCCCATTGCCCCTCCATACAGGTCAATGAGCCCCGTGATTCCATTATATAGGTTACTAAAGGAACCACTCTTTAAAACCAAAAGGAAAGTAGCTGCTTTGCCATTCGTTGTCAGACTCAGGTTTTGACAGTTTCTCTTTCATTTCACTTTTTAGTTGCAGAATGTGAGCTTTGTGCAGCTGGGTCCCTGCTTTTTTGTGGGGGGTTGGGTGACCTCAGCCCCTTAGACCAAGTGGCTTTTCCATTGAGCCCACAACAGGTTAGACCCTTTTGCTCAGCGGGGAAGCGCAGCCCAGTTAAAATAGGCGAAATCATTACACCATTTTCCCATGATGAGTGGATCGGACAATCCCACACTCGACAAGTAATCATATAGCCCCTTATATTACCCGTGTGGAGTCGTTGTATGGGGAAGTCCCGACTTCTTTTTGTTTGTTTTTTGTTTGGAAGGGGGTTCGCCGGTTCGCTGTTTGCATACACGTTCAATGTTTTGTTTTACACCTCCTCACTTGAGGTTGGTAGGGAGGAGCTGCAAATAAGAGACTAGCAAGGTACCTGAATTTTCCCCTGACCATGTGCGCGGGCCAAGATTTTCCTTGGCCTGTCAAGGGAATGGGGATGAAACCACACATCACCAGTTTGGGGTTTCTTTAAAGACGTGGGCGGCAGGTAAGCCAAGTGATCAAAGGCCAGCACCCCTTTCGGGCCTATTTTGAGGCACCCAGCTGCTTCTTTTTGGAGTCCACCCCCTGGTTTCAACCACTATTGTTTAACCGGCCCCCTTTTGGCTTTGCCTCTTTGCAGGGTAAGGGATTGGTTGTTTGAACCGCAACCACGACGGCCTTTGGGCCGTTCCACCCTCCCCACACACCCCCACACACCCCAACACCCCCCGCACCCCCCCCCCCCCCCACCCCCACACCCCCACCCCCCTCATTTTTCCACAGCCCCAAAGAGTTTTGGTCCCTTCAAAAGCCACCGAGCCACCTGGCGCCACCTGGCGCTTCCCGCTTCCCGCCCCGAGGAGCCTTCTGACGGGGCCTCTCCTCAGCTCTCTGGCGACACCAAACCCCAGCGAGTGGCTCTCGCGCCTGAAGGGCGCAGCACCTCGGATGCGTTTCTCTGGTCTCAAACATTTCCTTGGTTCAATTTGAAGGGAGTTTCCTGACGCACTGATGCGGTGAGCCATGGTTTGAACTTGTTTTTTTGTGTTTGCTTTTACCATGGTTTGAACCGTGGGCTTTGCGGTCCTGCAGAAACCTTGAAACCACTCCTTGCAGTTCAGCGCAACCCGCACTGCTGGGGTCCTTAGAATTTGTGTGCATTCTGTTGGCTTGGATATCACCACTTGGGCAAATGTCAATTCAGATGGATTTTGGTTTGGTGATGTTTAATGGGATGATTTGGACACGGACTCATTGAATATCCTACTAATTCCCCGTATCATGGTTTTGTATGGATGTTGGTCCACTTGCTATATCTTGGGAATCAACGGTACCCCACCCCAACAGCTCCTGAACCTGTACCAGCAATGGTTATAGGGGAAAACATTGTTCGTCCCTTACCGCGGTTAAACCCCTCTTATAATGCGGTTTGGGCACCCAACTAACCCACGCCTCACGAGTTGTCAATGTTGCCCTCCACTCCCAGCCCGCTCCAAACTCCAAACCACTCGGTTGTTCAGTGACAATCTTTTTCCGCCTCAGTGGGGTGGCTTCCCAACCCGAAGTGGTCAAGCGCGTTCCAATGCTTGTTCTACCAAGCTCACCCCAAAAACCCCAACCCACCTCGCATCCCACTTCCGAAAACCTCTCGGGCAAAACATATTGTGTCATCCCTTTGCGTCATGCCCGCCACCCGCAGCAGCTGCTTAAATACGCAGTATTTAGTGGGCTGGACCCCCTTCCCCCGCCATGTTTGCTCCGTCAGGCCGCGTTTTGGCATGCAAATTGAGCGCTGCGTCACCAGAATTCCACTTCCGGGGGGTGCAACCTCTTACATACGGGGTATTTGAGGAGTTGCCGTCTGAAGCCCTGAGCAGTGTTAAGGCGCGGCAGTGCCAAGACTTCAGTTATTTCAGATCGACCTTGAAATAAAGAATTCGACCTAACGACCTAGGAAATATAATAATTCACCTAGAGGAGGGTTTCCCATCAACATCCAACATCATTGAGGCTCACTGAAGAACAACTGTTTGGGCGATCAAGGTCAAAAGGTGGCAAACCCGGCAACCCCAATTGAATACAAAGAATAATCCTGTTCATAATGTTTTGAGCTATTCGCCTAGTGGCTTGCAGCTTGCACATCCAAGTAGGGACTTGGTCCTGTTCTTTTAACTGCCTCCTTCAAGAAGGGCTGTGATCCGCTTAAGTCAGTGCCACAGGATGACTTCGGCCCGGTCACCCCGGGTTGCCTCCGACTGCCTTCCCACGTGTCGGTGCACTTTGTGCACGCAGCTCAGGCGCCGGAGGGCGGCTGAAACCAAACCCGGGCCCCAAGCACTGCTTTTTGGGCAAGCAGTTGGGGGGCACGGGTTTGGATCCCGAATTTGGTCTCAAAAACTTGGGAGGCCAAACGGAAGGCAAATAAGGCTTGGAGTCGGTTTGCTTCCCGCGCCCAGCTCCCCCAAAGTGGCAGTTGTATTCGGGTTTTCACCAGTCATTGCAACCTTTGAAAAAGGAACGTGACAAGCAACCACTCCAACTGGGTTCCGAAGAAGGATCGGGGCCGGTTGCACACATGCTGATTTTGAGGATTCCCTCGTGAGGCAGCTGGTTTTTGAGGATGCATCCCCAAGTCGCACTTGCGGACGACCTGCTAGCCACAAGAGCTATCAAAACTCACTATGTGGGCCATGCATGGTCGTGGCCCCCTTACTAGGAAACCTTACAATGGTGGTCATGACCATCCCTAGTAACCTCCAAGTAAAGGGGAGTTTCGACCACACGCCTTTGTCCACTGGCACCCATTGTTCACCTTGATGGGTTTCTTTGCAAGATCCATTGGCGACATATTATCCGAATCAGATGGAGATATAGAAATGTTACAATGATATTTGGTGTATTATCAGTACTCAATGTTGGTATGGCACATGTTTTCAATGAATAACCAGCAAACATGGGGTCTGGATTTCTGATGTCTTTGGTCCGTAGATATTTGGGTGTGTCTCATTGAGGGTACCCTATTTTCTTGTGTTAACGGACACCAACAGGAAACCAACCAGTTTGGCGGTTTTCCCAGAAAACAAGACACACCCATTTGGAAAACTGCAAAGATACAGATGTTTGGTGTGTTTGGAGTCCGAGTTGCTCACACAAAGCTTAGCAAGTTCTCTTGCGTTGCTTTTTGCCAGTTTTTACTTGGGCCGGAGGGGAACTGGCTCAACTTTATTCGTGCGTTCGTAAATTCCCTTTGTCATAGAGGAGGCTCCGTTTAACGGAACCCTTGTTGGGCTCTATGATTCTAATTTGCAGAGAATCAAGGTACACCTTCAAGTGGTTTCTTTCTCAAGATAGAAGGCGCCTCAAAATGGGTCAGCAGCTGGTCTTAGGCCTCTTGATTGCGTGCGGTGCAGATTGGATGATGATGCTGACACAACTCAGGCAACCCTCAGGTGGTTTTTCTCATTGGTTTGGAGATGTGAACCCCTGGCTTTTGTGGGTAGATGGGGAACCCACCTCCAAACCGCCAATCCAAACCACCAATTAGAGGGAAGCTCAACAACCATGTCCAGAATCGGGGCTTTGTGTGGCTACCATGGTCGACAATGACCACGCGGTTTTTGTGCTTCCCTACGCGAGCGCAATGCGCAAGATAGGGATGAGGTTGTGTCCTTTCTGATGTGGGAAATTGCATGTAAGCGGCGGGTTGGCTCTTTCTTCCAAAAAAGGGGGTTGCAAGCCAGCCAAGCAAGCGGGCACCATAATTCTTTTCAGGCTTCAACGGATCCATTTTTTGGGACCGCCCAAAATCATAATCTATAAAAGGGCTTTGGGCATGGTGGAAGGGGAAGGGTCGGGATTCCATTGATCTCATAGTGGTAACTAGCTTACTTTGGAAACCAGGGGGGACTGAATGCTGGGTGACAGGGATCGGGTTAGGATGCTAGAGCCTCAGCATACCGGCGTTCACAAAATAGGCCATGGCAATTTCTACAGGAAATTAGCCAAACGCTGTCCAAACAAGGATTTCCTGTAGAATGTCCAGCCAAAGTTCTTGTCATTGTAGCTGAGTTACTAGAGGTGTTCCTTTTTGAGGGTGCCCCTTTTGGCTTGTGCTTAAGGATACCCGCAGGGATACCGATGTGGGTTCTATATCCCATCCAATTTACAAGCACTCCCATTTCCCTTGAAAACCAACGGAGAGAAAGCAACAACAACTATTGGCGAAATGGCACCCTGATTTGGAGGTTCCATATGCGTATCCCAATGTAGATCCTTGTAGAACATGTCCCGCCGTTTCCGTTGGAAAGACAGTCATGAGACAGGGGCGGCCGCCAAGCCATGGAAAGCTCATGAGCGGCTCTTTCCATTGGCTACTCGCTACTATGTTGCAATGCCTCCCTTAAGAATTGGGCCAATCAATACAGGTGTGTGGCTGTGTGTTGTGTTCCATGGTACCCATCAGGGGTCCGCATCGTTTGTTTTTGACACACTGGAACTGGGGTGCACACGCCGAGCCAGAGGAGCTCGCTGACGCCTGCGCCGCCTGCGCCGGCGCAGACATGTCGCCCGCAAGCAATCGACGATTTGCGGGGTTCGGGGGGTTCAAACGTTACCTTTTTGCCTTGGCGAGGTTCCCTTCTTGACTGCTATTGGGTTTCATCTTTAGACTTTAACTTTTTGTGAAAATCAATGGGTTTTTTCACTAAAGCCACAAAAAATAAACTTTTGCCTCGGTGAGTTTTCCTTGGGCAAGATGTCTAAAACGATGGTTATCAATTTGTCGTGATGAAGTAGTTGCAAGCGTGCACAGGAGTTGAACGGGGGCTAAGTGGGGCTTCCTGGTTGCAAGATGGCTTTTCTGCAAATGGGGTCTGGAACCTTGAAATGCTCTCCGCTTTCCGTTTAAAGCAACGTCAACTGTCTTCTTGAGTTAGTTCACGAGGCTTTTGACTACCCCAGGCAACCAAGGGGCATAAACAAGGGAGGTGGCTGGTTCGCCGCCCTTGCGAAGGTTGTCGAAAGTAAAACGAGAAGGCACACAATTTGCAAGATTGTAGCCAGCAAGTCATCGCCCTGTCAAAATGCAAACTGCGTTCTGGCATACTTGCGCCTCAACAACAAAGCAGTTTTGTCATCCCCCACCTCGAAAATGCACTTCGCGCCCTACGACATGACCTTGGGCTCGGGCTCGGCCGCTCTCCGCATTTGTTTTAATCACACGGCTTCAATCCCACCGTATTGATCTCGTAGGTTTGGCGGCAGCTCAAAGGCTCAAAGTACGCGTTGGAGAGACGCCTTTGCCAGGCACAGGCCAAGTTCGAGCAACACCGGACAGTTTGTCCTCAAAACCACACCGCTGGTGTTCACGGGCATGCCTATAACCCTCAAAACCGGTGGGGGAACGTGGCTTGAAACATGTTGGATGCATGGCATGCGTCGGACCATTCCCCCCACACCCACCCTTTCGTAGCAAGCGCAACCATTTTCAGGGCGTGTGGCAGCGGGTTGCCATAAACAAGAGGTCTCACAACCTTTCAGGCTTCGTGGTGAGTTGCTTTATCATGGTGCAGCCTAAGTCGAGTGGGTTGAAACAAGTTCACCCATGGCGCTCTCGGGAAAAATCCTGTTTTCCCCCTTCCAACTGTTCGAAATTCGGTGGGACGACACCAAACCAATGTCGACTCCAGAGGGTATCGCAGAGAAAAGGGCTGGCTTTTGAGAAGAACGATGGTAAAAGGACAGGGAATCGACCCCTTGATCGTCAAGTTGCTGACAGTTGACTATTGTTTTGTGGAATAACTAAAGCGCTCCCCTTGAGGTAAACCCCAAATAAGGAGTAAGAACGGGTAAATATGATCAAGTTGTTGTTAGTTGACTGGTGTTGTGTTCCATAACTTTAGCGCCTACCCCTTAAGGTTAGGCCCAAATAGGGAGTAAGAACGGGCAAATATACTCAAGTTGTTGTTAGTTGACTGGTGTTGTGTTGAATAACTTAAGGGTGGTTTTTTTGCCTTGCCCTGGCACAGGGCCAACCCTGGCAGGTGGTTGGTTGGTTGGTTGGTTGGTTGGTTGGTTGGTTGGTGGGTGGGTGGGTGGGTGGGTGGGTGGGTGGGTGGGTGGGTGGGTTGGTGGGTTGGTGGGTTGGTTGGTTGGTGGGTTGGTGGGTTGGTGGGTCCAAACCTACCCTAAACCTACCCCAAACCTTTATCCGTTAGTGTCTCCTTTCGTGCACGCCAGGCTGTGCCAGGGTTAGGCTAATGCCAGGGCTATGCAAAAAAACACCTCAGCCATGTTAGCGCCTACCCCTTAAGGTTAGGCCCAAATAGGGAGTAAGAACGGGTAAATATAGTCAAGTTGTTGTTAGTTGACTGGTGCTGTGTTGAATACCTGTGGCGCCTACCAGAACGGGCAAATGAATGACCGGCGGTTAGTTTCCTTTTATCTTTGCAACTTGGGTCTTCCTTATAACACTGTTTATAAGGAGACGAACCCCAGTTATCCGAGTCCGGGTCCCCCAGTAGTGCTCTTTTACCTTTTTGGGCGAGGGATCCCCTACTAAAATAGACTACAGACAAAAGTTGGCACCCTTATCCTAACCTCTCTACCGGAGGACCCAGTAGTTATAGCGGTGCGGCCCCACTAAGTTGCCTGAACACCCCCAAGACCTCGTCCCAGGCTGGGCCTGGACTGCGAGCACTGCGGCTTCGAGTCGAATCGACGGGTGGCACTGCTGCAGGTGGCCACCTGCAACGCCTGCTTCGTGGTGGATGCGCTTGGTCCGATGTGGGTGTGGGTCAACATCAAACCACCAGGCTATGGACCACAGGTTTTGTTCCATGTTGCCACCTACCAGGGTTCCATTTTGGGTACCAATTTTGACCCACAGCCATGCTGTTTGAAGGAGCCCGGTAGTGACACACTCAGACTAACATGGAAGCTCCCCCAATTGGCCTCTGTAAATGGAACCAAGTCTTCCAAAGGGGTCCTGGGAGCTTCCATGTTAGTCTGGGGGAGGGCAACCCCAGATTCAGCTGGAATCCTGCGCTTTAGCGGGGTGCATCGCCTTCTTTTGCTGTTCCCACGACATGGGTGTGTCTTGTTCGACCCGTTTTGGGTTGGTTAAATGCGACATCAAAAGGACGACCACCCATTTTAGGGGATTCCCCATGTCGAGACAATCCCATAACAGTTTTAGGGCCGCTAAGGCAGTCCAAGGAAGACCCTTGAATGTTGCCCATGTTCGGGCATGCTGCGAACGTGGTTCACAATTGAATGACGGGTCTACAAAATTACACTGCCTGGGGTCCCTGCAAAGAAGACGTAAGGGATGGTCATTTCTTGACGCTTCACCTCTGAGAACCAGCACGGACCTTCCTGTCGGCACTCCAATGTCCCTTTCTGGCGCAGGGATCGGGTTTGAGATGGTCCTAATATTTGACGGGAGGGGTGCGGGAATCCTTTCAAAGACCAAATACAAGAAGTCCACCATTTGGGGCAGGCCATACTCTTTGGTTTTCCGGGGCATCCGCCGTTGTTTCGCACCCTATTCGTCTTGGGGCCTTTGTTTGCCTGACGGTCGCCCCAAATTCAGTCCCTTGACATGGGTCTGATTTTAAGCTGGGCTGGAGTTCCCTATTCGGATTGGACATGGGAGAAGTTGCAGACGGGTTGCCCCAGGCAGATGGGTACCTTTCCAAAGCCGGTCGAGCCGTTTGACAGCCTCCCAAGTAGGGGTAATAACAATTTATCCAGGAGCACCTGCACATTTCCGTGATCTGGAGCGCGGGTCGAATAGGGGACCCCTATTGAAATATGCGTTTGCTCGTAGTGAAGCCAAGCTACCTATCCATGTTTACGCCACGCACATGTTTGTAGTTGGGTTTGCTCTCGAGGTGCTCACCTTGGGCGAGGAGCTGGGCGAGTTGTTAGGGATCCTGTCGGCGAAGGCAGGGCGACAAGCATGGTTTACGGTTCCCCCCCGAGCTTCTTTTTTTTCAAAAAAATAATTTCCCTTCAAGGAACAAGTGGATGGATACGTTGATTTATAAATTTATCTATTCAGAACCTGTATGTTGCTAGGCTTGCTTGGTTCACTCAGCTTTATGAAGTTTTTCGGTCGTGCCCAACTTTTCCCCTTTCTTTTGAGTAGGCTCAACTGGGTGCCCCCTGCAAGGTGTTCCAAGCTTCCCCCTCCCAAAAACTCCCCTCGCAAGGCCTTAGGGCCTTAGGGGTTGTTGTCCCAAGATTGCAAGGCAAACCCCCAGCTTGCCCTTTTGGGCCCTTCGGAAAGCCCAAGGATGCCCAACGGACACTTTTTTGAACCTGGAACCCTCCAATAGTCCAAGAACCGGCCCCAAATGCTTTAACAAAAAGTGCCATGCTATGTTTTTCCAGGGTACACTTTTTGGATGGCTAGAGAAACCACTTTTCCCGTTTTTTTTTTTTTTCCCCGGAGGGGGGGGGATTTCTCAAAAAAATGACGAGCCGCCGATTTCGGCAAACCCAAATGGGACGCCGTCGGCTGCCAGGCAATAGCCTTCGACTTCCAAAGCGACGCCCGGCTCTTGGCGCAGCAGAACCTCCAGGCCGGGGCGGTGCCGTTCGGCACCCGGTGCTCGCTTCCTGGCCGCTTTGAACCTTTTCAGGAAGACCATTTTAGTGGCAACCAACAAGTTTGGACCTTTGGCCAATCCATTCAGGAAGTGAGAGTGTTTATCCCAACTGCGGAGTGCGTTGCAATCCGCCAAGGCAAGCTGCTACGAAGGTCCGCGCCCGTGAGGGCGTGCCCCTGCCATTTGTTTCCTAACCGAAAGTGCGCTAATTGCATAGAATCCGATCAACATTGGCCAGATGGTCCAGTTGTGAAGGACATCCAGGTAATTTTGACGACTGATTTTATGTTTTTTTCTTCGGGGGTATATGTTTGGGCGCAGGGAAAAGCAGGTCATTGGGTGCTCAAGTTCATAAGTTCCCCAATGAATTTCCCCGAACTGGAAGCCCAAAAAATGATCGTCCCTCGCGCAGGTCCCCGTGGTGCGTGACCTCCGGTGTGAAGGCAGGATCCTGGACTTAGGAGATGTGCCTCAGGGTTTTGGTTTTGGGCCAGTGCCACGTGAGTTTCCTGTTGGTTTTGTCCACATCTTCACAGGCCCCCAGTTTTTCCTCCGGAAGGTATTGGGGATTGTTGCCCAAAGTAGTCTTCAACCCGTCCTGTTGTGTTCGTCCTCCGTGTACATGTGTCCATGGTCGCAAGCCTAACTCCGCCAAATTCAACCAAGGCAATTGACGGGAATCAAGACGGCTTTCGCGTAGGTTCGGAGATGAACTGCGCTGGCAGAGTTGGGCTGTTTTGGCCTCTTGAAAGCGGGCAGCCCGCCTCGCGAAAAGTTTTGCCGGAGGCGGGCTGCGGCGGTTGGTGCAGCGGACGCTCCAAGTGGATCTCTGCAAGGCGCAACGTTTGGGCAACAGCTATTTGGCCATGGGTCAAAATCCAAATCGTCCCCCCAGTGAATTTTCACCCACAGCCATCTGGGTATTGCTCAAGATAGGAATCGGCCCCCCAAGAAATGCGGGTTGCCTTTGGCTTCGCCATTTGGAAAGCCATCTGACCAAAGGCTCGGGTTAGGGAACTCACACTTTTGACAGGTTCCTTCCAGAAGGCTAGATTCAGTGGGATCACGGCTTTTGACGCTTGCATCATAGGCTTGAACCGGACCGCGGTCATCTAAGGGAAGCTGGTCTGAACAATGGGGTGGCAAACCTGACACATGGCGATAAAGTACTTTGTTTGAACTATTTTCCAGTGAAACACGATTGGGTGGTTGTTTTGTTAGGGCGTCCCCAACATGAGGGTCTTCTTTTGGTTTCCCTTTAAAACCCAAAAGCGGTACCCTCGAAACAGACAAACCGGTTGACTTGCTCAATTGAAGGCGGAGCAGTGCAGCCGCTGGTCGCGCAGGCGCCACGTGGGCAGTTCAACACTTGTTTGTTATTCTTCTCGGGGCTCAGGGTGTCAAGTTGCTCCACACATGTTGCAATCAAGCCTGGAACAGGGGTTGGATTTGCAACCAAAAGTCCCGCACACGAGGTTGAACAACGGTGACACTTTCGGATTACTGGAAACAATCAACCAAGTGACGTCCGATCAACATCACATCACATCATGATCCCTAGGGAATGCACCCGCAAACGAGAAGAACCCCCCAGTTTCAGCAATGCAGAGTAGCCACATTACTTAGGCGAAGTTCAACCCGAAACCAGGATGGCAGCGTTTCCTTTTTAATTTGTGTCAAGGACAAAACCGTAACGATGCTGTCTACTTTTCTTTCATGATCAGGAAGCACGGTTTTCCACTTGAGGCAGCTGTGTTTTTTTTTTCACTTGAGGCGAGCTTTCTTTACCTGAGGTGTTTTTGTTTGCACTTGGCTTTCCTCTTGAGGCGGGTTTGTATTCACTTGAGCTCACGCGTTCAGCAACCGATGCCACGTTTAGTTGTGAACCCTTTGTTTCTTAAGCAGCCTACTTGTTCCTTCAAACACCCCTCGGTGAGAGGGGGACATGGCGGCCAAGAGTACACTTGTAGGTACCCCCCGAAAGACCTGTGGTGTGGTGACGCGTTCATGACAAGCTTTACTCTAGATATATGCGTTGTTGTTTGTTGTTTGGTTCTGATGTGGCTTTGTGCAGTTTCTTGGTCTTAGTTGCTTTGTTTTGTTTGGCTGTGCTCATTTGTAGAGTCTCTTCAAACCTGGCACTATGGAAAGTACAAACTAGTGTTGTTTGGCATTTTGCATCCCCGGCTTCTGTGCGCCCTGATTATGAATTCTACTTCATGGGGAACACCCTCCAAAACGGTTGGTCAGTGGAGGTTTTTCTTCTGGAGATATGGATGCTTCTTACCCATACTGTATTCCCTTTTGGGTGGTTTTAAGCATTACCTGTTTTGAACATTTAAGGCAGGTTGCCCTTGGTGATGTTCTGTGGGGGGTTCTATGGACCCCTCACCAAGCAATCCTTCCAAACCCTCCATTCGCTTGGCCAAGCTAATGTCCAAAGGTTCAGGCCCCATAGGAATATGTGCCGCGCCCATTGTGCCGTTCAATTTCTTCGAACGGTTTACACATATTTACATATGAGAGTCGTCCGAAAGGTCGTTGTATTGAGCTATGAAGGGGACGACCTTTTGGTCTTAGCGTTGACCTTCGCGAAAGTTCCGCGAAGGGGGTCGCTAAAGTTATTGTTTTTTCCGCGAAAGTTTTGTGTGGCTTGCTAACAGGAAGCTGGAGTGATGAACCATGTGTATCTACCGGCAGTGCGCGCAGAATGCCCGCAGAGTAAAGTTGGTCGGAGAATGCGCAGCCTGAGGGTCGCCGCAAGAATACGCCGCTGCAAAAGCAACCCCCAGCCAGCAGAAACCAGCTTCTGGGAGTTTTGAGGCTGTCGGGGCAAGCTGAGCGCAACTTCCAGCCGGATTTTAGCGAATGTTTGGCGTAAGATCCGCGAAAGTTTCGCGAAAGTCGACGGACCTCCCCGCCAGTTTCCGGACATGAGGCCAACGGGTCCTCTCATGCGCAGCTTGCGGCTTGTGAGCTGGAGCTGCGGAAGCGCGCTTCGCGTGCTACTTTGGAACTGAAAGGTCGCGACTTTCGAGCTGGGACTGCGGAAGTTCACTTTGTGTACTACTTTCGTATTGAAAAGCTCTGACTTTCGAGGCTGAGGAAGTTTAGTTCGTGCACTACTTTCCAATTCAAGCACTGAAGAGCTGCGACTTTCGCGCTGGGGCTGCGAAGTGTACTTCGTGTACTACTTGTGATGAATGTTCTGAAAACAGCCCCGCGAAAGTTCCGCGATGGGGTCCGCGAAAGTTTTTTTTTCTCGTGAAGATGGCGGTTTCCGGAACAAGGAATTTCAGACAACCGTCATATATATATACATATATATATATATATGGCTGTGGGTGTCAAAACCAATGGGATCCCATTTTGGTTGGTAGGTGACTTCACCACCATTTTAGAACCTATTTTAGTGCTTGGATTTGGATTTTGACCCATGGCCATATATCAACATTATGGAGCAAAGACTTCTAAGGCTTTCCAAGCCCCTCAGAGGTTCCTAGCTTTTGGGCATCCGATTCACGCCCCAAAGCTTGGGTTTGCGTCAGCCCCAACTTCGGCCTGGGATGAAAGTGCCAGCTTGTGGTTATAGACCGGTTTGGAGGAACGTGTAGTTCAGACCCCTGAATGATTTTGCGGGTGTCGGTTTTTTGGAAGCCCTTCCTACAGGCTTCCTCCAACCATTGCTTGGGGTTTGTATGAGGAAATTTTGGGTTCGGGATGGCAACCGTTCCAGGAGGATTCTGGGCTGGTACGGTGAAGAAATGTTAGCGCTTCGGCTGTTGGGATGGTTTCATGGGATTGGGATGACAACCATGATCACGATTGCGACGACCACGGCCAACATAAGGAGTCTTGACAAAGCTCTAGCTCGACTACCGCCGAAAGAAAGAAAGACAGAAAGACAAAGACGTTACATGCACAAACAAACAAATAGATGAAGAAGGTTGCACAAAGAGAGACAGAAAGAAGAAACACAGACAGAAACATGGAAAACCAAGTCAGAAACCCTGAAAAACAGAACGGAACCATGACCAAGAACGGAGTTCTGACCATGGCTCATGTGGAGAGGGTGTTTTCGTTGGAACCGAAAACCGCGCCCGGCCGACCCCCAGGCCACTTCGTGCCAGCCAGCTCCACTATGCAGCACTGGACGCTTGGGTGCTGCTGTTATGCGCCTTTGGCAGAAATTCTGACAGAGTTGAAAGGAACTGGTACGAACCTTTGGTAGCCCCTGGTATGAACCGGTGTGAACCCCTCTGAATTCTAGGAGTATTTGCTCAGCTTGTGGGGCCGGAAGGGTGGCTTTAAAGAGGCAACCAAGGAACTGCCAACTAATCAGCCCCTCAAGCTGCTGAATCCGAGAGGCCAAGGAAAGCTCCAGAGAAGACCACCGACTTCTTAGCCGGCCAGCGAGGAATCATTCGCTTGAATGCCCACAAAAGACTTTTGCCTTGGAGATGTCGAGACTTGCAGAAAGACCATGTTGGGAATAGCATTCAGATTTTTTATTTTTTTTCGGAAGACTCATGTTGAGAATACAAAGTTCAGATTGTTTTTGGCCCAGCCACTCTGGAAGTGAGCATGACATGATCGAGCATCGTTTTCCGGGACTGCCATGGGATGTGTTTCTTCAACGAAAGGCGCGATCAGAATGGGGATGGGCCAGGGTGGTACCTTGGCTACTGGGAACCTAATCCCCTTTGCGGCAACATAATCCACATATATATATATATGTATATATGTGTGTAATATATGAAACATACGTATATCATACATATGAATATATATATATATGGCACCCCCCCCCCAAAGATCGACCATTTTCTGTGCTTTAACTCTGGTGACACATCCCAGAATCTGCAAGGTCTCGGGCTTCTGGCTTGCCAACTTCATCTTGCATCTGCCTTTTGGCTGCACAGGATGAACATGTTGAAAAAACCCGAAGAAATTAAAAGAAAAACAAAAAACAAAACAATCAGGGTCCTGGGAGAGAATGCCCAGGTCAGAATCTCGGAAAGTGAATAAACCTCAAAGAAATGAAAAAAATCAAGGTCCTGGAGCAGAATGCCCAGACCCAGTGACTATCTCTCTCAAGGCCCTGTTTTTTTTGTTTTTTTGATTTTCTCGAGGTTTTTCACTTCACACGATTTGCCGAGGGTAGAAAGAGAGTGGGCCAAGCGGGGCATTCTTATAATGACATATCAACCTATCATGCCCTATCACTTCAAAGGAAGTTGGTTAAAAACTTGCCCTTCGCCCCTGAGCATCTTCCTTGCAGTGTTGGAGCTTTGGCGTACAGAGCTGCAGTTTTGCAGCCCTGCCAAGTCTGTATTGCAACCAAGGCCCTTGGGTGGTTTGGGGGTAGTCGCGAAAGCCATCTTACATTCGAGGAGGGTTGGGATTTGGGCAGCCCTTCCGGCAGGGTAGTCCTTTTAACTGTTGGCCCCTCTAAGTTTCTTGGCGTGCCCAAGTTGCTGCAAACAAAGGCAACATATCTTCCTGGTTCCCCCAACCCAAGGCAAAGTTAAATATTCCTCCGAAGTCACAAGGCTACTTGCTTTGAGACAATCTAGGCACCGCTAATGAGTTCTTCAATCAATACTCAAATAGCTAACAGTTGCCTGGCATCGTACTTGCCTCATTTTGCTCTGATGAGCCTTGAGTCCTTGTCGCCGGATCACCTCGGTTGGCAGACTCCATCGCTTCGGGGGAGAAAAAAAGAACAAGGGATTTGCCGAGGAAAAACGGGAGCTGCGCCTTTCGCGCGTGCTGGAAAAGGGCGAGAACGCTCTCCCTTTCTGGGTTCTGCAAGACTTTGAAGTTCTGGGGCCTGGTAATTGGATTTAAGGAAAAACAGAATCTGACATTGTTCAAAGGGTTTGGTTACAGGAAGGTCTGAACGAACACAGCTTATTAACGGTGTTTTCGGGGCCAATTCCTGTAGATTTTCTTGTAACCAAACCCTTTGAAATGTTATCCTTGGCGTCAGGACTTGATCAATATTGTTTCGGCAACCCCCGTTTAAACTTTGGCCACTAGGGGAACCCATTGGGTCGGAACTCTTTTGGGTGTTTTGCGACTTGAACATTGAGTCCTGCGCTTCAGAGTCACAGCAAGGGGAGCCGTCGCAACCCAGGGGCCATGAGCGACTGCTTGTGGCTAGGGTCCACGGACCATCAAGGCTTTGAGAACATGGGCAGAACGGAAAAAACACCTAGGTGATTGAATGCTCTCCCCTTGCAATAGAACAAGAACGGGCACCATGTTGGCAAAGAACAAGATGTGTGGACAGTCTTGTTCTTCCTTTTGTGAACACAAACTTGGCAATGAGTTCCTCCAAAGCTCAGCCATGACCGTCCCATGGCTCCCCTTGTCCAACGTGGAGACAGTTTCCCTGTACTCCCCTTTTGGCAACTTGGGCAGAACACGCGTAGCAACCAGACCGTGAAACACTATAAGGAGCGCAAAACAAACCTGTTCTGATGAAAAAGACTCTCCGTATTGGAGAATCAAGAAACCTTGAGATGAAGGTTGCCCGACTAATCCAGACCTTGTTGGCGGTCTGTTCCACTCGCCGGAAAAGCGGAGCCGGACTACTGTACATGCTTGTTGTTTCTGCGTATGGTTGGTAGAGGGATTTCGAATCTTCCTCTTAAAGACTTCCTGCATGAAGCGAACACTTTGAGGGGTTCTCAAATTCACTCTCTCTTTTTTTGAGGGGCGGGTCGCTTTCAAACCACTCCCACTGCGGTATCGCAGAAGAGTGTATTCTTCCGAAACGCCAAAACCTGATGTCATTTGTGCATGTGTGTATTTAGAGATAGCCACTTGATCTATATAGTGTTGGCCTCGTTTGGGCCGCGCCCCAAAAGGGGCACATAACAATTGATCCCTTGAAATGAGACCCTCGCATCAGACAAATCAGGCGTTCTGTTAGGTTCAACGTGATATGCCAAACCGTATGCGTAAAGAGCCACTGCAGCCAGAGGCACTGACAGACCAACGTTTTACACTCACTCCCACTACATGGAACCTGCAGAGTTTGCTCCAAACACGGAACCTGATATACTTTGGAGCCATTAGGCGTCCCAAAGCTGCATATGACATCCGATGTCGACATGAGTCTTTTGTTTTTGGCGGCTCACAGCGATGTTCAACCTCCCCCGCCATGGGATGCGCTAAGAGCAAGGAAAACCGCGACACGGAAGCCAATCGGTGCAGCTTCTCTTCCTGGAACTGCGTGCATGACACCAGCTGCCGGCCCATTAAAGAGACACATTTGCGGCGCCCAGGTTGCAGCCGTGGCCAGTTGGGGAAACGCCGAGGAATAGCGGTCAAAGCAACAAACCAAGCAATGGAAGCATTGCCTGGCCAGTTTTGGTCACCGGAAGAAAAGAGAGAGGCAAAACCTTGTGGGCCGGGGTTGTGTTATTCCTAGTTGTTTTAACTTGATATGAGGCGGGATGCTGGCCTGTATGACGAGCTCACGGGATCAAACCAGGTTGCTGATGGCATGGCGGATCGATCCCTGCTTGGTTTGGAATTCTTGTAGGATTTGCTCATGGTTTCGGTTCACTGCTTTTGTCTTCCGATCGGGTCACTTCAATCCTGGTAGGTTCCGAGCCGCGAGGAATCGCGAGTTTTTTTTGCAATTTTGCCACCACAAAGACCGACTTTCTCTCCCCAAAGGCGGGCTTTCGCGTTTACTTTTCTGAAAGCCCAACCTGCCATAGCAATTGTTGCTTTTCTTTGGGGGAGTTCAACTGTCGAAAAGAAGGCGTCACTGGTTTGCTTCCAAGCCATGTCCTTGGGTGTTTTGTTTTGATTGTTTTGTTCGAGGGGCTCACGAAATCCACTTCCAAGTCGCCCTTTTCCCCTCAGTCGAATGGGAGCTACCCCTTCTTTTTTCGCGGTGGCAAACGGCCAAAACGTCATTGTTCCACTCCGTACTGTTGCTTGCTGTTGCCTCTTTGCAGCGCTTTTGCTTTGCCTAAAGCGCTGCGCAGGATAAGCACCGTTTCCCTGTGCCCAGCAAAGGATTCGCCTAAAAGATGTGGTTTTAGTCAGAGGTTCTATGGGTAGCAAGGGCTAGATTCATTTGGGTATTTTGTCGCGACCCCGCAAAAAGGAAAGAAAGAGACACAACCAAAACAAAAATGGTGGGTTTCCTTTTAGTTTTCCTTTAAACCATCCCAAAAAAGGGTACCCTCAAAAGACACCCACATTCAGCCCAGGGGTGGCCACTCCTGTGTACTTGATTGGGTAAACCCTGCGCTCGAACTCGAAATCTCCGGGGTTGGGGGTATCCGAGCGCGCGATCTGTTGTTTGCCCGAACAATCATTCGGAGCGCTTGACAATGGAACTGACGAGTTGGGTTGGATGGATTTCTGGGCCTACGTTTTGAAAGAATCCCCCGCACGAACGTCAGGCGCATGGCAAGGTTGGATTTATTCCTGGACGCGGTGGATCGGAACCCCGGGTGGCTCACGGAACCCTCGACATGACATTGGCAAGCCTTTTTCTTGCTCAGTGGGGAATGAGAGAAGATCTGTGAACCATCCCCCTAGTTGAAGGAATGCATTGGCTCAATCACACTCTTCCATTGATTTCCGACAAAGCCATACATGACCGAACGACGCCTGGGCTGGACGTGACTGGAACGCCTGATGACCCCCGGATCGCGTTGGCGAGTTTTCTTCCAATCTTGGCCACGCTTTCCACGCGCTATTTCTTGCGGGGTCTCAGCAGGGAATGAG